TTGTCTCACTGTCTCTGCACTTTCCTAACACAAAACAAGACTCCACTTGTGATTGAAGTCAATGGCACCGCAGCCATGCCCCCCGCCCACAGTGCGATCGCCTGCCTGCATTCCGGTCCAAAGCAATCTGCAAAAATAGTGCTTGCAGATGTGCTAATGGGCCTGCGTTCCGGGTGCGGGCGATCGCACTGCGGGTGAGGGGCGTGGCTGCGGTGCCATTGACTTCAATGCATAACCATGCTCCCTCCCCCCCTGAATGCAGGTGTTTTGTTCTTTGTTAGATCTCATTGAGCTTGTCATTTGAAAAGTAGATCTCCGAGCGAAAAATTGTGGGCGCCCCTGGTCTATATCATGTATATTATTAGTAGTTTACTCTGAGCTGAATTTTCCTTTGGATTGCAAGGGAGCTGGGGAGATTACCGTAGCCTGTCTGTATTGTGTTGGAAGATCTCAATATGCGTTGTAGGCAAGTTTTAAACACTGTCTGTCCTAACAAAGGGTTAAAGATCTGGAAGCATTGTATACTAATGAGAGGAAGCTCAGTTTGCTCCAGTCTCTCTATGGGGACAGCCAGAGTTTCCTGTCACTTTGAAAAGAAATGCTGCTCTGTACATTTTCAAAGGCCTGCTCTATGCTGTGTGAATAGGTACACAAAAACATAGAGAGGGGTCTGTCTCCAATTTGACTGTAAAAGTGGAAATACACTTTAAAGGTGTCTGTAGAACCTATAAAGGATTGTTTCCTGTACTTGTCTATCAGCAAGTCACAATTTTATAGAATATGTAAACATGATGTACAATTAAAATATATTGGCTGTGGCCTCACAAATAGGTATTGCACGTGCATCTGCCCAACAACAGTTACATGTTACTTTTTCATTGCTTTTTTGGTTATAACGTATTGCTACTCATTGCTGTATGATGATTATACAGTAATGCAGAATAGCTCCAACTATGCAGGACTACAAGTCCCAGCAATACATTATAATGTGAATATAAAATTAGTTTGTCCTCCACCCCTTTCCCCCTCCCCCCACACCGGACACTTACCTGACTCCTACAGCCGCTCAGCTACCTCGCCGAGTGAAGAGGGTCCGTCCTCTCCCAGTCCCAGCTGAAGAATGTGCTGCCTGGCGGCGGTAGCGGCCCCGCCAGGCAGACAAGTGACACACAGAGGCGCCTCTCTATCCCGCACAGCCGCTCATACATGAAGAGCGGCGGAGGATGGAGCGGCGCTATCTGGAGGGGGGGGGGGCATGAGGAAGCTTTCGGGCCCACCCCCCAACAGGCGGAACGCCAGGGCCCGGTCGCAATTGCAACCGTTGCGACCCTGGTAGTTCCGCCAGTGTCTTTTGCAGAAGGACAACTGCAGCATGTTTTCAGGTGCATTCATCTTCAATTTCTAAATTCCATCTGAATTTCATACAAGGTAGATTTGACCCAAAGCTGACTTCTATTGGACCTGTATTTGACCCTCTTCTATGCTGTTCCATAACTACTGGATTGTATTGCATTCAAAAGCATGCAATAAAAGGAATAGGATCCGAGACCAAACCTTGCTTGTTGACTTAATCATTCAGTTAAAGTGAACCTGAGAAAATGGCAGTGATGGTTTAAATTAAAAGCATAGTCATCTGCAAGTGGTTGTTTGTTAACACAGTCATCTAAGTACCATTAAAATAAATCTAATTGTAATCACTTCATAAGGCATTAGTCTGTGTGTTTAACCTACAATATGGTTGCACCTTTTTAAACAGCTCTGTATGGCTAAGTGACAAAAGTACAATCTGTGCATTAATTATTTGTTCAATTTGCATGCTATCCAACACTTAGCAGTATAAAGCTTAATGGAGAATTGGCATAGTTACAAACAAGGCAGCTGTTTTATAGTTCTGGAGTTTCAAAGGGACAGCGTGCACATAAATTCATTCTCTCCTAAAAACTGCAGAGCTGCTGGGGCTGATCAATTCCCGCAAGCTCTCCTCCACACTATCATTTCACAGCGATAGCTGGCTTCTTTTCCTGACAACAATACTATTCACATCTGTGTGAAAGACAAAGAACAGACAAGACAGAAACACTCGGATTACTTCCACGGGATAGTAATGCCTTATAATTTGTCAATGCCACTGGACAGCTACATGGAAACCATTGACCGAGAACATGTTATCTAAGTTCTCTGCTGTTTGCTCTGGGTCAATTTATCAATTGGCTAATCAATAAATGTAATAGGTTTGTTGTATGATTCAAGCTAGAAGAATGAATACCATTCAGAGATGCTGATCCAAAACTAGCTTTTCATACACACAGACATCACACTTTTCTGATGCACACCAAACCCTCCTGATACTTGAGATTTAAAAGGTGTATCAAGCTGAGTTGGAACTGAACTAGAGCAAGCTAAAGTGAGGAAACCTTTACCAAGCAAAGTAGTGGCTGGTCCTTTTAGTTTTTACATTATCATGATCAGTTATCTTTAATCGAAAACTTGCTTGAGCCAGATAAAACTTGGGACAATGACCTGAAAAGCCACACACAATACAACTTAAGCAAAAAGGGCACAGCACTAGAAACTGTACAATTAACGTTCTCTCTATACAACTCATGCTCCCTGTTGGTCTAATGATTTCACCATTATAGAAAGTATTACTTGGGATTGAAGTAACAAAATAAATACAGGGACATATCAATAATTCAAGCGCTGTGTTTGGTGCTTACTCACTATCAATTATAGTCTTCTCAATGGGGAATCAATGCGACCATCACAGATTACTTAGAATAGAGGCAACAAATGGCAGGCATGTAATGTGAAACCAAGGGACACATAATAGAATAATAAAGCAAAAGTGGCTATTACAATTTTTATTCTGAGCGTAATAACATGAGGAATGAAATGAAGAAACAAAAAGCAGATGTTAATTGCTTAAGAACAAATAGGTCCAGTGAAGGGCTGTTACCCCACAAGAAATATTCATTATAATGTATATCTGTGTGTTTGTAGATATGAAGAGGATCACCTTGAAGTAAATCAATGTGTGTGTCCCACGTTCAAGAATTTGCAAATATAGAAGACCACGGAGCACAGCCCTACATCCTCCCTATACTGTATATTTAGACTTCCTGGAACAAATATATAGCAAATGAAGTCAGAATACATGATCTGCATAGCTGTCATAGGTTAAATTGAAGCAATAGGAGCACCATGACAGCCAGGCAAGTAGCTTTTTTAGAAGCATAGGTCAGGGGTAGCATCATGCATAATTCTCTTAATACAGGTTTCCCCTAAAGCAGTCTTGGCATCAGCAATATATAGAAATGCATTATTTGTGTGCTGATGCACAAAACCCAGATGACTTTCCTCTCTTCTTTTGAGCAGAGCATCTGATGGAAAACATAATTCACGGATACACAATCTGAATTCTAGATCCAGGGTGGTAAAGCTGCATTGTACATCAATACTTACCAAAAGCTGCTCAGAATGGTGCTTAGTTTTGAAGATGACAAACTTTAAAGTGTATTTCAACTTTTGCACCCTAATTGGCGTAACACCTATTTTATATTTGTTACATGTTCTCATTTACATCACATAAGGTAAAAAAACAAAAATGCTTCTTGCAGTTTAAATTGATTTTTTCTTGGGTTAGGATTTCTACTGGCTTCTTAAGGGTTAAACTTTCTACTTGCTTATCCTTCTTTGAAATGTTAGCAGGGGTTGTGCGGGATGAGGAGTTTGTTCATTATCATTTGTAATGTAGATGTGAACACAGCCTGTCCTAGCAAAGGGTTAAAAGGGTCGAAAAACTGTTTTTTGCATTGTATGTTAATGAAGTCAAAGAGAGGAAACACAATCCTCAAATTTCAGCCCTAAGTCTTTCTATAAGGCCAGACCACTGTGAAGGTGCTCAAAAAAAACTGTAATCGGCCATGTTTCCTGCTGCAACAAAACAGCTAAAAAGGTAAGATTATATATATATATATATATATA